ACGTGCATGGCGATTACCTCAGGGAATCTCGAACCACTTAGACGATTTCTGAGAAATCTCGGATATGGTGCGTGAAGCCCACGCCAAACAATGCCTATATAAAGGCACCAACCCCAATGGCATAGGGAAGCAAGTAAGCAAATAAGCATATTCTATCTCTCATACTTTGTGATTTTTAGCTTGCAGTCTACTATGAGAGTACTGACTTAAGCATCGGAGCGATCTCGCCGGGTTAGCCACCCCGGGTCCTCTGACATTGATTCCTTGCAGGTCTCTAAAGAGCAACGAAGCTCATCAATCCAGCTCGGCACCTCACAGGCAGCTTGGCACCTGGTCAGCCCGACACTTCACAGGCAACTCGACACCTGGTCAGCCCGACACCTAGGTAGCTCGGCCCCTCACAGGCAGCTCGACACCTGGTCAGCCCGGCACCTCACAGGCAGCTCGCCACCTGGTCAGCCCGGCACCTTATAGGCAGCTCGTCACTATAGTCATCTCGTCACCTTGCCTACCCAGCTCGATTACGCTCGGCAGCCAAAGTTCTCCACTTCGGCCTGAGTCATCGACCACTTGGAAGCAGACCAAATAACGAGGTACTTAGCACAAAAAATTGGCCATCACCCAAAAAATTGATCCATCAATTGGCGTCGTCTATGGGAATTGAACCCACAGCTGTGACTCAAGCATGGTAGATTGCGGTGACTCGATGCGAGCCCTTTTGGCAGCTCGCTTCTTCTTCCCCTTCATCCGACCAAGAAGTTGATCTGCAGTGAGCTTCATGAGAGTTGCAGCAAAAGAAAGACGTCAAACAGAGACGACCTACCAGGGCTCAGGCCAGCCTGTACAAGTTTGTCTTCAACCACGTAGTCCGCGAAGTTGAGGCTGAGCTCCACCGAAGATTGGAGCGCTTCCCTTGTTTTCAGGTCCAGTTTGACACCAGGATCCTGAATGACCGCCCTTCGATGGGTTGGGAAGGGCCATCCCTCATTGTTTTAGACCACGAAGTAACCCCTCTTCCAGGTCGGGACCCTATTTTGGAGCTTGTGCAAAAGCTTGTAGCCTGGACAAGGAAATAGGTAATAGGTCCGCCTATGCTCGGGAAGGACACAGGAGGCATTTTTCTTGATGGACAGGATCGAAGAGAAGATATCGAGGTCGAGGGGTAGGTTATAGTCATGAAAAAGCGAGATGGTCCCTATTACATTGCGAATTGAGTTTGGATGCAGTTGGTCTATGGTAATGTTAAAAAGTTTCAAGATTTCTACAATCGTGGGGTGCAATGGAAGACAAAGACCAGCTACGAGCTACTCCTCGAAGATCACGATCTCGTTGTGATCATGCTCCCAAGGGAAGTTGCCTAGCGGAAGACTATAAATGAGCTCGTTTGGGAGGTTGTACTGAGCTATCAAGGCTTGGAGCCTGTCCGCTATCATTATCGATGGGCCAAAGTTGTCTGGCACCTGACCTCGATGTGAGGTGGATGCCAAGTTACCAGAGGCCTCTTGTGCCTCCCAGAGTGGTTGCGCCTTAGGAGGGCTACAAACCATTTCCAGACCCGAAGTAACTTTGGTATGACTATCGATCTTGGCCGAGGTACTCACCTCGGCCTCATCTAAAAGACTACCTCGGCCTCATCTAAAAGACTATCAAAGCTGAAACTAGACATGAAAAAGACAAACTGAATCGAAGAGGAGAGCTAGGGAAGACTCACCAAGGAGAAAGACCGAACTGGGAAGAAACACCGAAGAGGAAGACCCGAGCTAAGGAATTTGAATGCGACCTTAGACCGAAGGCTAACGAACTTATGGCGAAGAAAATGAGTTTCGGGTCCCCCTATTTATAGCCACTGTACCGGAGAATCAACGGTCGAGATCAAAGCGATCCGACAACTCCTAAGAAAATCGGCTACGCGACCCCCGAGGTTGAAATCGGTTTAACGCGTTTTTTGACGTCCACGGAGTTTGTAGATCGTGTGACGTCCGCGTGTAAACTAGATGTGACCCAGGTAATCCTTGGTTGAGTCGAGTAGCCGAATTGGTCCGACCAACGATTCATCCAACAAAGCGGCCTGGACCTCGAGCCAAATCCACTTGTCACATCATGAACTCCCCGCACCAGGTCTGGACCCCTAGCTCGGGGAGTGGGGGGCAATTGATGAAGGGTGATTTGGCCTGACCTCGTAACAGGGGGACACGTGGACACGGCCTGACTAATAGATGACAACTCAGCACAACCAGCTCGCAGGAGAACGATCTCGGGTACCCATCTACCCCGGGCTAAAATGACCTCGCGACAAGGTCACCTCGAAATGAGATCGCCTCAGTACTAGATCGCAACAAGAATACCTCGATGCCAAGGCACTTCAACACTCAGTCCAGTTCGGGACTTGAAGGCGTCAACTCGGGGATATCGACATGCCACTATGAGGATCTCAAAAATCCTTCCGAAGGTTCCCGGGCTTCATGAGATTATGCCTTATAACAGCCAGCGTTATCTCCCTCGACCGATTCGGGCGGACTCGATAAACCCTATCAGTTGGTAGCACTATCTCCTATTATCGCGGAAATGGATCTCATTGTGACGAGGATCCCAGAACTGCTCCGCAAAACCCGCGATGACTCCATTATATAAAGGCATCACCCCCCGGGGGTGCAAGGTATGCGTGATTTTCTTGCTACTAGCCTACTGACTTAAGCATTGGAGCGACCTCATCGGGTCAGCATCCCCGGATTCTCTGATATCCTTACAAGTTCAGTCCGCCGTCGGTCTGAAAGTTAATTTACCTCAAGCTGAAAGCAGCTAGATCACGCTACATCAAGCAGGATTCTTTTTTTTTTTCCTGTAGAATGTGTGATTTGTTAATTACGATTTAGTGCAATGTTATTTCCCTCTTGGTATTATTGTACGGCATTATATACATTGTCCTCTATGTTAATTATTTCCCGAAAATGTTGGACAGAAGCAGAGTATAGTAGATAAGTAATGTGATAATTTTCCTAAATCATTTTGAGTCAATTTTGAACAATAGTATATGCAGTAATGTGATCATTTTTAATTTGGTTTTTTAATACTATTCAATATCCAATTGTGTCTAAACTGGTTTCAATCTGAATATAAACAAATTAAATCAACTCTGATTTTTTAATGCTATTCAATACAGTCATCAGAGCGGGGAAATATCGGGGATTACCCGTCCCCAGATCATTGGTTGTGGGGCGGGTACATGTCGGGGATTCCCAATGGGGCCAGGAATGGGGTTGAGTCTTCATCCCAATACCGGGTATGGGGCGGGGATGGGTGCGGGCATTTTAGCTACGGGGTGGGGACGGGGAGTGTGTGCCCCGCCCCTTACCCGCCCCGTTGCCATCCCTAATAAATAGTGTGCAAACTGCAAATTGATTAAAAAAAATAAAATATATATTACTCACTCGATAGAGATTCCCATGAGATTCCCATGAGCTAAAAGAGAAAGAAATCCCTTAAGCTTGAATGTATTGAGTGAGAAAAATCAAGATTACATTGCCTTCCAAAAAGCCATACTGAGCCCAAGCGTACATTGTGCTCCTTGCATACTGAGATAGTTTGATTGTAATGTTTTATCAGCCTTTTAGAAGCAAAGATTACTGCTTATTGCTTGTTATTTGATTGTATTTGCAAGTTGGGAGAGCTGAATTCCTGTAAATCTTTGGTGTTGTTATGTTTTTAATTCTTGCATCTTACTTGTAATAATATGCTATATTTCATTCATTATCTTGCAATACAACACCTAATTCATTCACACACTCTTGAAATTGTGAGACCTTAAGTGAAAATTATTTGGTGAACTCAATTCACCTCTCTTTGGTTTGGCGATTAGGCAACAGTGTTTACTTCCCTTGTTTCATGTGAAATGAGGTTTTGCTTTGCTTCAATGAGATCACTTTTGCTCCACTCTAATAGAACCCCCTTTTATGTTGGCATTAATTCTTCATCATTTAAAAGTTAGGAAAACACTACAAATATAAAATAAAATTTAAATATATCATATTAATTAAAAGAAACGAATTCTGCCAAAAATATATATAAAGAACTTATAAATCCATAAATTTAATTTGTTGTATACACACATAAAGTAGGAAATATGCGTATTACAGAGGTAGATTGTTTTATTTAGGCATAGAGGGCTATAATAACCATGAAGTAAACTAAAAAATAAAATTTCAATAAGATAGATTAATATTAAAAGAAAGTAATTATAAAAGTTCACTATGTAATAAATAAATTTCATTCTTATATGCATAAAATCACAAACAAAATTTTAATATGTATATATAAATTAATTAATTTAGATGAGAAAAATTATAAACATAAAAAATACAGAATAAATATTCAAATAAATTGTGCAGTGAATGCACTACTCAACAATGTCATAGACTTTATTGTTCAGTTTCAACCTATAGATTGTCTAATCTATTTGTCCTCATTTCTTGACAGCCAGTGTATCCTTTGATATCTGAAACTGAGATCAATACATCATCTTTTCCTCTAAATAATGTATATGTTGCCAACCTAGGACCTAAGTACCTAACGACGACAATGCCAGTTTTCTATAACAGTTGATACGAGGCGAAACGTTCTTTCTCTCTGTCATAGTTGGATTAATGTTTTTGCCACCTGGCAAGGCAAAAGAAATGGTATTTGGAGGGTGACATACGTAAGCGCGTTGGCGTTTGTCACTTGATCATTTCGTGGAGATGACCAAAGGGAACTCAGAAGAACCTAGATGACCGATGACCTTTCACAATTCACATAATCACATTCTATATTTTAGTTTCCTTAAAAAAAATAAAGAAAATAAATAGCTCGATAGATGGCACGTGTCATTACACGTGTAGACAAGTAACATATTAACACCTAGGCATTTCTATCTCTTGACAACGCAAAAATTTGTAAGGGCCACGTGCCCGACAAGGTCGCAATAAGCTCCATGACTGTATAAAAACAAACAATTCCGAGGTGGAGGAGGATTCATCAACTCTTCCGGTAGCATCTCGAGTCCTCGATCTGTGGTTTCTTGTAGTGAAAAATAAAGAAGGATTTGTTGTAATGGCGAGTGACGAGTTTAGGTTGGTGTCATCGGCGATAGATCACGAAGGAAGGTTACCGCGAAAGTACACGGGAGAGGGACAAGGAGCTCTGAAGAACATTTCTCCACCGATGGAATGGTACAACGTGCCTGAGGATACCAAGTCTCTGGCGCTTGTGGTGCAGGATATGGACGGTCCGGCGGAGCCGAGTGGGCCAAGCGTTCCAACGACTCACTGGGTCGTGGTTAACATACCGCCAACGTTGAAGGGGCTCCCTGAAGGATTTTCTGGAAAGGAAGAGGATACGGGAGGCGAATTTGCTGGGATTAAAGAAGGGAACAACGACTGGAAGGTCCGTGGGTGGCGCTTGCCCAAGCTTCCATCGCATGGGCACAAATTCGAGTTCAAACTCTACGCCTTGGACGAGTTATTGCACCTGGGTAACAAGGTACGTTACGTAACATCGATCCGACTTTTCCCAGCCTAAAATAGGATGAAGATGAACAATTTAATAAATCGATCCGAGCATGATCACAGCCATCCAATATGGATTAATGGATGTTGTTCAAAAAGACATCCTTATATCAATCATATGGGTCTGATGGTTAATTATGAATATGATCACTGAATTGATCTGACTTCTCAGCCTGGACCTACGGGGTTCCAGTGCAGTGTACTAGTCCAGCACCTGAGCACCTGGCTACGTTTTAGGTTGGTCGTCAACTCGTCAATACAATACAAATTTTACGATGGGCCGGGGCGGGCCCATCAGAGGCCCATATTATCTCTCTGTTCTCGCTCGAGAGAGAAGTATAGGACATGCAGGAGGGTTATGTTAATGAAATGTGGGTGCAGGTTACAAAAGATAAGGTGGAGGAAGCCATTGAAGGACATGTGATCGGGGAGGCGGTGTTGATAGCCGTGTTCTGAAGTTCTGATGATGGAGTGAGTCCTTTGCTCGACAAAGGAGTAGTTTTCGTCACCAAGTCACCAGAGCTGCTGCAGTTGAATACGCTATACCCCATTGTTGGTTTTACTGTTCATTTGCAATTAATGCTTTTGTTGAGTACGTAAATCTCTACCAAGTAGGCATCCCTTCTCCCAATGTTTTAATTGGGGGACTCGGTATATTTTAAAGTGATGTTTTTTTTTTTTGTTTGAGTCTATTTATATATATAATGCCCCTTTGTATAATTAATTAATTAATGGATGCCACGTTGCATTTTTTTGTGCTATGGCTATGGATTTGAGTTTTTCATTTTAAAAAGAACGTAGTTTATGGCAAGAATTTTCTAATCAAACACGGCTTTGGTATCAAAGAAACAAAATTTTATCATACATTACTGATTTTGTCAATTCACCGTGACCCAATCTGATGATTTATTATTTAAAAGGCCCTTAGTTTTAACTTTTTGAAATTATGATTGTTAGGGACTACAATCACGGTTATTGCCATTGCTAGGAAATAAGGTAATATATTAAATGAAAATAAGGAAAGGTAAATTTAAGATATTTAATATATTTCATTTTAATAATATAAAAATTTATATTTTTAAAACATTTTGTCAAAAGTAAATAATAAAATATAAAATAAAAAAAATTGTGAATGAAATGTTTTTATATTGTGAATATTTTAATATTACATATTTCATACAAATAGAATATAAAAATATATTTGACATATTAAATAATAAGTATGATAAATAGAATATTTATTAATGATGGAAATAGAATATAAAATTTAAAATCAATTGGACATATTTTTCTTATTAAATTTTATATTATATTCAATATTTTATTTTTATAAATAATAACATTATATATGTGCCCAATTTTTTTTCTATTTTAGTATCTCTTCATATTTTTTATTTTTAAAATCTTTATTACGTTATTTAATTTTAAAGTTAATTTTAAATTTAGGATTTCATTTTCATCATAAAAATACTTCTATACAATATTTTAGATATACCCAATTCTTTTTTGTATTATATATTTTATTTATTTTAACTTTTATTATTTAATTATAAAATTATTTATTAACCCATTTAACCCCCGCTTTTAAAATATTTTTTTTTCAAATTAATTGTCAAAATAATTATTTTTATACTATTAAAATACTATTATAAATTTAATTAATAGAATTTAAGTTTTATTTTCAATTGGCTTTTAATTTTACATTCCATTTTCATCATTAGGAAAACATTTCTTATTTATCATATTTATTTTTATTTAATATGACAAATAAATAATGATAAAAATGTTTCTGATAGTGCGATCCGGGCACTCCTAGCTGGCGGTTGGCTGGTTATTTGTCAGTAACACGCAACACCTGAGAAGATGAAAGGAAGGATTCCCGGGGACTTGCCCGGTGGGAATATTCCGATGCTTAAGTTAGTACTGTGTATGGGGAGTAAAGAGAGAAACGAAAGTTAAGAGTGGAGGTCGCGTTTTATCACTATATTCGAGAGGTTAGAGGTCTCAAGAAGTCGTTTTTCCTCTGCCCTGAGGGCTTTTATAGGAGCGCTCTTGCGAGATCGGACATAACCGACGTCCCCAAAGTGACAGGCATGCCTCCGCCTACTGAGAGACGTGGGCGCAGACTGTTGAAAGGACAGGGACTGTGCCGTCAGTTAGGGACGTGGCCCAGTCTGACTGGTACGGTTTATTAAATAGAAGCTTCCTGAGGAATGCTCGTGCGGCCTATTCGTGAGTTACTTTGCAACGAGCTTCGAATACTTCAGAAGTACCCTTAGTAGAATTGGTTCTCGGATGACTTGCCTTGTTCGGGAGCTCGGGCGAGTCGGCTTTCTTAGTTCGCAAGTTAAAGTTTTCCTCGGAATATCCCTTAAGGTAGCTCGGGGGACCCGGAGCTTGCATTGTGGCGAGCCCCTCCTTTACCCCGCTACCATGTAGCGAGCTGCTTTATGGGCCTATCACTTAGCCGTACTGGACCACAATGCTGAGCTGTCACTTACGCTGAGTCAGCGTCCATGTGTCGTCGTTTCATAGGTCGGGTCAAATCATTCTTCATCAATTGCCCCCCACTCCTCGGGTTAAGAGTGCCGCCTTAGCGCGGGGAGTTTATGAAGCTCGATGGACTGATTTGACCGAAATTCAAACTTGATTGACTGTTTTCAATAAATGCATTTGCGGGAATCAAGAGATCTTTTGACTTCTCTGATTTTTCGGATTCTGAAAACATGTTGAGGTGGCCTTTAATTCCGAATGTCGTGCGGCTGCGACTACCTTAATCGTGGAAGACGTGTCGCCAATCGTCTTCGGTTTTCAGAAGGCGTGTGGTCAGGGCGCCCGTGGACCGTTGGATCTGTTTTGATCCGGGCCGTCGGTTTGAGAGGGTGAGGGCTATAAATGGGGAGCCCCCCTCGGCCCTATCTCCGTCCATGCCATCTTGCATTGGGCTCCGAGGTCGCGTACTTCGCTTAGTCTACTCGAGTTTCTCAGTCTGCTCCGTTCCGTCTACTCTGGTGAGTCCCAATCACCGTCAGCCATGTCTGGGTACCCACGCCATACCTACCACAGGGGCGATAGCCAAGATGATGATGCTCCCTCGGGCTCGGGGGCAGCCTGGGAGCATATCCCAGAGGCTCGGGAGGCCTCTGGCGACATGGCGTCCACTTCTAGGGGGAGGAAGCCTAATACCTTTGGCCCTTCCTTAATGACAGCGGAGAGACTCAGGTCTCTGATCCGCTACTTTCGTCTTCCTGGGGACCTGGTTTACAGCCTTCCTACTGGCAACTTTCCTTGGGAGCATGGTCCCAATGACAATGATCTTTCAGGAACAGCTTGAGGTTGGCCTACGTCTTCCCCTGCACCCCTTGATAGTGGAGGTGCTGAACCACTTCAACGTCACTATTGACCACCTTCACCCCAATGTTGTTCGAAACATGGTTGGGACTATATCCCTATGCCATGAGTACTGGACCTTGACATTTTCGCCTCTATCCTTTGTAAAAAGAATGCTGCTCCTGGGGTTCCCCCGGAGAGGCACTTTTACTACCTCTCTCCCCGTCGTGGCTACAAGCTCTTGTACAAGTTGCCGAATAAGATCCCCGGCTGGAAGCGGGACTACTTTGTGGTCCGTAACCCCGAGGGGTGGCCCTTTCCCACTGCTTGGAGGGGCAACATCCAAGACCCTGGGGCCGAGCTGAACCCTGAGATTCGGAAAACGATGCTATCTTGGGTGTCGGTAGGCTTCCTTTGCTCGGACTACTTGGCCGAGTAGAAGCTCGTGCAGGCAGGCATGAGCCCGGGTAGGTCGGCCTTTTAGGTCGTGTAGTGTCTTGTGACTTGTGTACACATGCATTTTTCTTCTTGTTGGACTAATATCTTGTGGTCTTTTGGCAGCCATCATGTTTAGTGCCGATTCGCGCTGCCTTCTCTCGAGCAGCCAAAGATGCCAGGTGAAGAGGATGCGCCCCGACCGGACCCCTCCTTCGGGAAGCACTGAGTTTGGGTCTACCGAGCCGGTCCTGCCCTCTCCTCCGCCCGAGGTTCCGATGCCCCCTCCTGAGGGGACTAGTGGGGTCAACCCTAGGGGAAGCGAGCCCTCTCTGCCGGGGGAGGCCCCCTTTAACACACTTCAGCCCCGTCCTTACCCCCGGTTCCCAGTGGGAAACTGGGAAGGGGTAAACGATTATCTAGTAGCTCGCCGGAGGAGTCGGAAGGCAATCAATAATGATGAGATCACTCAGTGGGGAAACATGGAGCCCGGGGATCTCTCTGCGTTCGCCTCTATCCACTGCATGGTGGTAAGTGACCTTTTTCCCTTTTTCCCTCTCGTTTTGCCCTTTTTTCACTGTCTTCTGATCTTCTTTTTTGTCGATAGGTAAATTTCGCCATCCATGCCATGGCTCTCCAGACGCGCATCCATCGCGTCGACGCCCTTGACCAACGTGCTGCCAATCAGAAGCTCCAGGTCGAGCTCGATCGGATCCGGGGCGAGCTCCATCACACTTGCAAGGGGAGCGAGTCTCAGGAGCTGCTCGTCCACGACCAGGAGGCTCAAATTGCTTGGCTTACTGAAGAGAGCGCACGGTATAGGGAGGAGTCGTCGAGGATGGCGGGGGAGAGGGAGCTCCTCAGGCAGCAGGTGCGGGAGTTGGAGTCCACTCTTCTAAATGGGACCCGAAACTTTGATCAAATGGTAGAGGCTGAGCGAGAGAAAGCAGTATGGGATTTTAAAGACTCCCAGGAATTTCATGACCTCCAGGCGGAGTATGGTTCGAGTTCGTACCACTCAGGGTTTAAGCTCTGCCGGTGGCTGGTTCGAAAGAAGTTCTCCGGGCTCAACCTCGACGACATTTCTATGAAGGGTCTATCCCCTAAGACAGCAGACTAGGCGGATGAAGAGGAGCCTGACTCTCCGGAGGAGGCGGATCCTTGAGGTGGCATTTCTCTGGATTTCTATGGCTTTTGGGTGCCGTAAACCCGGTCTTTCACCAGTTTTTTGGTTGGGCGGTTGTGCCCTATGATGATCAAACCTTTCCCGAACTGTTTAGCTCGGTTGCTGCACTTGTTATTTTCCTTTACTGCATTTGTTTGTTGTTTGTTTTTTTTTTTTTTGACGATGAAAGTTTCTCCCCTCTTCTGAGTATGATGAACTCCTTTCATTTTTGCTAAAGCGATCTCATCATTTGGGTTATTGAAGTTACCTACCAAAAGTAGGGCTCTTCGGTAGGCATTCTCCCTATTTGTCACGTTTAGGGCCTCCGTGGCATACCGCGAAGTGATTACTACTTACGTCCGAACTAAGCATTGGTTGGTTATCCTTTAGTTCGACCGACGTATCGAGACGAGCTATGCTTCGTAGGGTTTGAACCCGAGCTGCTTACGCCTTTAATATTTCATACTTTGCCTTCGCCATTGGGGCGCCATTGAGGTAGCTGTCTTTCTTCACGCCGAGGTCTTCGTTAGCTCGGTGTTTTGGCCGTTAGGCTTAGGGAGGGACCCGTAGTCTGCTCTTGGATTCTCCCAAGCCGAAGTGGCGATTGGGGTCTTCTTGTGCCGAGGTCATGTTAGCTCGGTATTCTGGCCCTTAGGCTTAGGGAGTGGCTTGTGGCCTACTCGATTGTTACAGGTAATATTGCCTCAAGTTGACAAAATTCCATGCTTGAGGTACTTATTTCCCTTTGAGGGTCTCAAGCTCGTATGTTCCTTCCCCGAGCACTCATTTCACTCGGTAAGGACCTTCCCAGTTGGACCCGAGCTTGCCA